AGCCATCCAATCATTGGGAGATATTTGAAATGTAGCCATGTGTGGTTTTGCCAGCTTATTAGAGAAAAAAAGTAACAGTGGACATTTGAGAAATTTTGTAATTGTTTAAGTTACTGCAGTGTTTGTTACTAATAGCATTGAGTAATAATAATAAAAATCACAGAGCTAAGAATTGGATTTTAGTACTATTTCTGCAACCCAGTGTAGATTCTTCGGTGAAATCCCTAATTCCACTTGGCTTCAGTTTTGCATCTCATGGACTACACGGTCCCTGATAAGTCTTCAGGTCTACAACTGTGATGTTCTCACAGATCCTATGGGGGAAAGGGGACCTTGGCTTGTGCCTCAAGACTGGCAAAGCTGAGAGAGTTCCCATGAGCTGGGTACAGTCCAGAAGGACCAGCAGTGTTTTGAGAATGCTAGTTTGTTAGGCTTTGCTTAATCCATTGTACTTCACATACAGATGCTTCTAAAGGCCAACAGTAAGAGCACTGCCACATATACCTGACACTTCCTGTGTAGGTTTCCCTATATCCACCCAGGAGGAGCTGTGGCTGTGGGGTTGTGGAATCCCTGAGCTCCAGAGACGAAGAGTGTGACAGAGGATGGATGCTCCTTCTCTTCAAGTATCAAAAGCAGAAATCCAACAGCCCTGCTGGAGTCCTTCAGCTACTGTGTACAGGACCTAGAACCATCCCGAATGCCCTACCAAAGACTACAACTTGATGCTCCTCTCAGCAGGCAGACAATTTCTAGAAGTTTCCATTATCTCTCCTCCATGAGGAAAGTGATAAGAAAGTCCAGTAGCATGTAGCAATGATTGATTACAGCTGCATGATCAGCAGTTTGGAAAAGTGTCTCCTTTTCTCAGTTATCATCCCATATTCTTCTCCCCTTTCAAAAATTCACTGTCCTCATTGCTGTTTTTCAATGGTCAGCTTCTCAAGACCAAGTTGGTTATATGCAGTAAGGCTGAGATCTCTGGAGCCTTCTGAAAGTCACAGTCACTGCAAAAATGGGCCTGACACTGAGAAAAATAGGTCTGTCCCATGAGGATGTGCAGAAGTCTTTGCAGACATGAAGTTTGCAGAGTTTAGGTCACAGAATAGCTATCTTCATAGTGTTCGTGATGTATTTGTTACTGTTCACTATGACCAAATACTTTACAAGAAGTAATGTAATGGAAGAAGAACTTATTTTGGTTCATGCTTTTAGAAGGATACAGTTCATCACAGAGGGGAAGGTGAAGCAATGGGGGCATGAGGTGACTGGTCACATGTTGTTCCTGTCATAATGCAGAGAGAGACTACGGTGATCCGTTTGCTTTCTCCTTTCCATTCAGTCCAGGACCTTGGCTTCTGGTGCTGCCCACATTCAGTGTGGGTCTTTTCCTCTTAGTTATCTCCTTTAATATATGGCCTTGGGTTTTCAACCTGAAGCTGTGGTGAGGTGATGGAAAACACTGAATTTGTAGCATACTCCAGCTCTGAGTCTCATTCTAGCTTTCCCTCGAGGTATTTTATCATCTTTGCACAAGCAAATTGTCTGAGACTCAGTTTCCTCATCTTTAGACATCATCCAGTTATAGTTTTTCTCTGATTAATATGATGGTAGAAGAATGTACTTAGCATGCTCCCTGCAGATAGCCTGAGACACTCAGTGGGTATGGTTTCCCACCTCTTTCCTTGGCTGTGGGCCTACCTCTGCCATTGGACGCCTGAAGGCTGAGTACCTCACTGAATCGCTTGATCCCCTGAGTTTTTTTTCTGTGAAAAAGACACTATAACCCCTGCCTCATAGATCTGAGTCAGAAGAGAGCAAAAGAAAGGGCTTCAAGAAGCACCCTATACATAGAATCTTTGAAAAGACCCAAGGGAAAGGAGGTTTGACCTGGAATTAGAGAAAATAAGCCCTAGGTGTTATTGCCCAAATATATGGAAGATAGTTTAGGAGGGGGGGAAATTGTTTTTCAGTGTTTTATAAAAAATTAAATCAGGGGACTGGAGAGATGACTTGGTGCTTAAGACCACTGACTGCTATTGCAGAGGTCCTGGGTTCAGTTCCCAGCACCCACCTGGCAGCTAATACCTGTTCTTAACTCCAGTTCCAGGGGATCCAACACCCACTTCTGGCCTCTGCAGGTTTTCTCACATGGAGTGTACTTACATGCAGGCGAAACACTCATACATATAAAATTAAAAATTTAAAAAGAAATTAAATCAGAATGTAGAAAAATCCAATTCAGTTTCACCTAAAAAGCGCAGTTATATTAACTCCATTCCTATTTAAAGCCAGGGAGTACAGCTTTGATAGCTAAAGGGAAGCCTGCCTCCAAGCAAGAATTTCCAAACAAACTCATCTGATGATGGGGCATTTGCACAGCATGTTTCATTAGGCAGGGTCTTACCCAAACATAGGCGATTATCACACCCTCCAGAAACCAGAAATGCCAAGATTGATGGTGCTCAGTGCTGGGACTTCGTATTCTGTAATGTGTTTGCCTGATATGCACACAAGCGCATTTGCTAGACAGTATCTGATCTGGCATAGTATACCTCTGTCTCAAATATAAATAGGATATCTTTATTTGGAGGGGAAGAGATGAGATAGAAGATAGTTACAGAAGCTGAAGTTTGGGGAAAGGTATCATTCATTATCAGTGTGGGTTGAGGTGGCTGGTTGCTTTCTCTCCCATCTTCCCACTTGACCCCTCATTAATATGAGTGGATCTTTTGAGGCCCTCTTTACAGAAGCCATGTGTGATGGACATGCTTTTCGTTTTTAGGGTCATTTTGTTATTGTGAGGTACCAAATATACATCCAGTTTTCTTCTGGTATTCTGCTACCAAAGCAAGTTACCCGACAAGCTAATGTTAAAGATTAGGGAACTAAGGATAAAGTTCCATTGGTACAGTGCTTGCCTGGAATGCACAAAGCCCTGGGATCTATCATTAATGCCACATAAACCAGGAGTGGTAGCATATACCTACAATCCCAACATTCAAGTGGAGGGAGGAAGATCAAGGTCATCCTCAGCTACACAGAAAGTTGGAAACCAATTTAGGTTATCTGAGACCCCTTTTCTAAAAGAAAGGACGAAAAAGAGGAAGCAAGAGAGAAAAGAAGAAGGAAGGAAGGAAGGAGCGAGGGAGGGAGGGAAGGAGGGAGGGAGGGAAGGAGGGAGGGAAGGAAGGAAGGAAGGAAGGAATGAAGGAAATATTAAGACAACCATGGATTCCTAGATACCAACTATATAGCAACATTGTAGCTTCCAGAGGCAGCTGGAATATCCTCAGGGCCAATAAGGTGCAAAGGCAGTAAGTGGTATGTCAACATAAAGAAAGCACCATCTCGGGTGTTCAGCTTGCCATTATAAAGGTGAATTGTCTGCATCACCAAAGGGCGAGTGGTATTAACCTTAGGACCAGAGAATGCAGATCCCGGAGAGCCACGGGAGAACATAAATCTCTATGGCCCAGAAGCAGAAAGATACTTAATAGAAGTATAATTGAAGGATTTTTTTTTTCTCTTCAAACTCAGATAGTTTGGCTAGTGTCAATGGGAATTATTTCACTCCCACTCTGGGGAAGGGCCAGCTGCCCATGGACATGATTAAAAGACCATCCAACTACTGGCTGCTTGCACCAGAATCAGCCTGACATCCCTGCTGCATTCTAAAATCCCAGCACTGGGCTTGTCTTGGATATGGAGGAAGCAGTGGCCGCAGAAGCAGCTGTTAAAAAGCACCAATGTTAATTGGGAGTTAGCACCCATTAACACTGCAAAACAGATTGATTTATCAAATGAGCCAGAACGCTTCTAAGAGCAAGGACTTTAGAATCTTACAAAAGTTAAATCAAGGTAGAACTTTGGGAAACATCTTGTCAGGATCTTCTCTCTGAGGGATTTGAGACCCAGAAAGGGTAAGTGACTTACAGAAGGTCACCAGGAAACCAGTAGCAGAGCTGGAGCCCAGATTTCACTAGGTGCTTATTTCTAGAATCATCTAGTCTATAGAAACTTTGTTTTACCAGCAAAGAAAACCAAGTCTACATATGAGAAGAGGCTGTCGCATCCTAGACCCAAATGTATTGCCTGTAGCCCTTGTCCAGTCTTCTGTCCTTTCTATTACTGCATCTCTTTCTGCCTAGCATGGTGGCTAAGCAGAGATGGTAAGTACCAGGTGGATGAATGAGTTACACATAAGCTCTCCCTCTGTGAATCCATATCAGCGTTGAGAAACTTCCATGTGCAAAGTGCTTCAGTCATGTGAGTAAAGAAGGGAAAAGAGAAGCCAAGAGGCCCGTGTATCCTGAACGTAAGGCAAGTACTGGATGCTTAGAATGATGACTTCCCCAGAGAAGTCCACAGGAAAACACCACTGTCCCACCACTGTGTCCTGCCGTATGTCTCCATACCTAGTGGCATCCCTTGTCTTTCTCCAGGACAGAGTAAACCTGGATCGACACACAGCACTGTCCTTGCTGGCTGGTACAGAGGTAGAGGGAGAGATGATGCCAGGCTGGCAAAGCAGGGCTTGGGGCAAAATATGAGTTTCTTTGGCCTGTGACTTCTCAGTCAATCAGGCAGGGCCTGCCTAGAAATTCTCCTAAGCACCAAGTTCTTAAGGCAAGCTTGGGAGGAACATATTAGCACTGCCAATGAATAGGGGAGGGGAAAATTGAAGGTCAGTGAACTGGGAAATACTAAAGGCAGATTCAGATGCAGATATAACTTGCTCAAGAAGGCTCTGCTCACCTTCCCTGAGGACCTCTCACTGTCACTGGGAGAGATAGCAAGCTTAGCTGTTCACTGTCCCACAATGTGAGTTACAGAAAGGGCATAGTTTCTTCTCTTTGTCCCATTTTCAGCAACATGAAGCCTGGCCATGGATGGAATTGCCAGGTAGAGACTGTTCATGAGGTCAAGGCTGGCCTCCTGAGGTGCAACAACCACGTTTGGTCAGCAGCTTGTTCCACTGACCCTTGGTATCATTTCAGGTCTGGAGTGCAGCTTTGACTTCCCTTGTGAACTGGAATACTCTCCTCCATTGCATAATCATGGGAACCAGAGCTGGTCCTGGCGTCGTGTGCCCTCTGAGGAGGCGTCGCAGATGGACTTGTTGGATGGGCCAGAGGCAGAGCATTCTAAAGAGATGCCCAGAGGTAAGGGGAGAGGCCACTGAATGGTGTCCTGAGTGGGCCAGGACCAGTGTTGGGTACCTATTTCCTTTGAAACAAAGGAGCCTTCCCACACTTACTGTGCCTTATCACCTTGGAAATCTATCTTGAATATCTGTTCTCCTCTGTGACTTCTTGACCTTTGCATAAGGGAACATGTGAGTCTAATTTTAAGCTGAATCCATCCTTTTACTGTTACTAAATAAAGAAATAAGATTTTAAAACTCTTCCATTTAGATTTCCAAAGTAAGATATTGAAGAAGACATTGATCTATTTGTCTGTCTGGAATCAGGTTGCCAAGGAAAGTATAAGTCACTCAGTTAAAAGTGAGTTTCTGAAGAACAATAAATAAAATTTTAGTATGTCTCAGGTGATATATGTACCATACATATAGCAAAAACTATTCCAACTGTACTGAAAACTTCAAATGTGTTCTGCATTTTTATTTGATAAATCCACCAGTCTTAACTGGGAAGGTGCTGTACAATTGGGTTAAATGTTTGTTTCAAAGTCATTCATGAATATTCAGACTGCATGCTTATTTTGCACGGTGCTTTCCAGTAGTCCTGACCTGTTTATGAACATCACCTTCTGAATTTTCAAGACCCAAAGAGTAGATTCTGAATAAGTTTTGGTATTTGTGGAATTTTTATAGAGAGATGTGAAAACATTAAGCCACAGTCCAGTCTTTAGGTCTTTCTATCCAGGGAAAACCATGGGACTTCCAATTCCCTAGATCCAGAAGCACTATTGACCCTGAGTTGGCAGATTTGGTTTCCGGCTTTTAAGAAGTAATGAGCGAAATGGAAATGGGTGTACTGAATATTAGCAGTACTTAGCATCTAACACTGTCTTGTTGGATTCAGAATCTGTGAAGAACAAAGAGCAATGAGAAAGTTAGGACTCAGAGAAGGGGAGTGACGGGCCCAAGATCACACAGTTATCACTTGCATGTCCAGGTCTAGATGCCTGCCATCATGAATCTCAGACAGGGGAACTTTCTACCACATTATACTTCTATTTCTATAGCAAAAGCCATGGCTATAGTTTGCTCTGAGGCCAAGTTCATGAGAATGGTTATCTCGGACTCATACATCTACACAGTTTACCAGGGACAGGGCTTAGGTAGGCTGATGGGAGTTGCACAGAAATGATTGATGCTCTTGAATTTGTATTTTGCAATGGCCTTGAATCTTCTTGTCACAAGAGAACTGTGAGGTTTTTCCTTTCTACGTATTCTCCTGAGCTAGCTTTTCTACTTTTATGACTCTCTTGAGATTGCTTGAAGTTGATTTCTATTTTAAGCTGCCCTCACTTGGATGCTGGTGTCTGGTGTGTAATGTATGTATGCATTTGTAGGTGAGTAGCTCTTAACCCAATAATACATAAGAAGCTTAAAAAGAAATTATAAGAAGTACTTAACTCCATAACCTAAGATTCTGAGTCCAGAGATAAGAGAGGGGGTCTAGAAAGTTGTATATTTTAGCTTGTTATTATGACATCTAACATGTAAAAAAACACAGTGATAACATGTGTACATAGATAAAAGATGAAAATCAAACAAACACCCATTTTCTCACCACCAAGCATGAGGACTTGAATATTGTCAGCCCTTTTGCAGCCTCCTGTTCCCTCTCAGACCACAGACATCTCTCCACCCTCAGAGGTAACCAGTCTCCTGCATTATTTGTTAATCATTCATTGATCTTTCTTTGTGACCTTACCACCTATGTTTATGGCCCCTACACAAAGTATTGATTAGGTCTGCAAACTTTTAATATATATGGAGTCATCCTATCACTTTGTAATTTTTCCATTTTGATACACATAACTGTGGTTCACTGTTTTGATGTTCTATTCAACCCATTACATGATTCTCCTCTCTCCTGTCGTTGGGCATTTGGATCATCTCCAGGATTTTGCAGTTACCAATGGCATTACAGTACGCATTTTTGCACATCTTTTGGTTCACCTGTCTAAGAGTCTCTGCATAGCATAGAGCCAAGGTGGGATTACTGCAGTTGATGCAGCTTCCATTTCATTAAGTAATGCCGATCTATTTTCCCCGCACTCCCAGTCATGATATATTAGTATTTCACTTTGTGACTTTTGTCCTCTCTAATAATTGATATTGTCAGACTTTGTCATTTTTGTCCATCTAGTATATGAGATATAGTATTTCATTGCAGTTCCAAAGTCCATAAGAATTATTTTAATTTTTTGGTGTGTATGTTTACATGTTCATGTGTGTTTGTGAGTAGGCATACAGTGGTGTGTGCATGTATGTAGAGACCTAAGGTATATATCAGGTGTCTTTTCTCAATTGCTTTTTACCTTATTTTTTAAGATTTATTTTATTTTTATCTGTGTGCATGTGTCTCTGTGTACCTGTGTTTGTGTGTGTATATGTGTCTATGTGAGTGAATGGGCACATATGTGTACCAGTACCCACAGAGGCCAGAAGAGGGCATCAGACCCCTGGAGCTAGAGTTACAGGCAGTTGTGAGCCATCAGATATGGGCACTGGGAACTGAACTCCAGCCCTCTAAAAGGGCAGCAAGCACTCTTAACTGTTGATCCATCTCTCCAGTTCCTTCATTTTAATTTTTGAGACACCATCTCTCATCAGCAAGGCCCCAGGATTCTCCTATCTCTCCCTCTCCAGTGCTGGAATTTCAGGTGTGTGCTACTGCACCTGGTTTTTCTGTAGGAATCAAACTGAGGTCCTCATGCTTGTACAGGAAGTACTTTACCAACTGAGCCATCTCCTCAGTTCTCTGGAATTAAAAGAAAAAGTTTTAGTAAATTTCTCAGATGATTCTAAGTCATAGCTCTGATTGTTATTGGACCACCTTCCAGATTTTCTATTTATAGCTACTTCTGGAGATACCTCTGGATTATATATAACCTCTCAAAACTTTTAGTTTTTGGTCATTGTATTTTTTGAGACAGGGTCTCCTTGTAGCCCCAGCAGTCCTGGAACTCACTAATAGACCAGGGTGGTCTCAGTCTCACAGAGATTACCTCCAGTGTGCTGGGATTAAAGGCATGTGCCACTACACCCTGAGGTCGTTGTAGATTTTTTTAAAAAGATGTGTATTTTAGAGTCCGACTGGATCACAGTCCAATGAGATGGAGAACAAGTGGCAGCTGAGCTCTACATGAATTCCATTGACTTTGTGGAGTCAGACAGTATGAATTTGAAAGTTGGCACCTTTATAATTTTTTAAACAGTACCAATAATTTTGCACTGCCAACCTCTGACCTGCTTCTCCTTCTGCATCTTCTTCCTTATGATCTCTGGCCTGTGCAAGTTACACAGAGTGTATGAGTAAACGAAGAAGGAGATGAAGGAGGGAGGCAAAAATTCTTTAGTGTGGAAGCATAGTGATGCCTTTATGTTTTTATGAAGCCTGATCCCAAGGGTCAGCACATGCTCCAAATGCAAAACATCTCTTATTACACAGTCAGCCAAGATGGGAATATCCATTTTTAAAGTACACATTGTCAACTTCAATGTCTCTGAAAAGCTGTCGCTCTTACCATGTGGCAGTACACGGTACCCGTAAGGTACCACACACACAGCAGAGGCAGCTGTGCATACACCTGTCTGCTTCACCATGTTCCTCAGTGAATGAGCAGCTCCCAGCACAGTGGAGGGAATCTCCCCACTGTCAGACACATACACGTATCTCCTGTGGGACCAAATGAAGAGGTCTGTTCTCAAACAGCACTGGGCTGTCTTCCCCGTCACGACTGGGATTCTATCTCAGATCTTCCAGTAATGGGATTCTCATTACTTTTCAAGACAATTCATTATACCCTTATTCTCTGAAGTCGGGCTGTTCCTAATGGAGTAGGCTGATACAGTGACATCTTCTGCTCTTTAAAGAAAGGGGTGAAGGTGCAAGAGGAGAAAAGAACATGTCCACTCTGAAGCCATACTCCATCCTAAGTGCTCATCATTGGAGTCTCAGATTTTCTGCTATCGGCAGGCCGCATGCTTGCAGTGTTGATGCTGATGAGAAGGAATGGGCTGCCCTTTAGGGTGGTATAGTCACTGTTTGATCTTTTTTTAACTGAACATTTATTAGTTGGATGATATTTGGGCTCTGTTGCAATATTTCTTGTCAGGAATAAAGATGAACCAGAAAAAGGCAGAAAGATTATAGCAACCGTAGATAATGAACTCTAGGAGTATAAATTTTGAATGATTTTAATTTATGGCCACTGTAACTGAGAATAATATGGGACATATACTTCAGAGAAGCAAGATAATAAAAAGTGATCATTTTGATGGGACACAATATTTATAAATTAATAAAATCTTGAGGAATCATCAGGTTGGAACGTTCTGTGACTTTTCAAGGAGTGCCCAGGGCATGTTTTAATGTGGACTACTTCCGGTGTTTAGAGCATAGTCAAGGGAATACATTTTGCTTTATACAGCAAGAAGAGATTTTGGTCTCTAGTGTTAACATTGTCTTAAAAATGAAAGCCACTTTATCAGCCCCCCAAAAGCACCCTCCCCCACACCACACTTTTGTGCATACAAATGACGAAGAAACTTAGACACAAGTCTTTTCTGGGATTCTAAATCTCAGAGTTTTTGCTTTGTTTTATTTTATTTTGGGCAGACAGCTCAAATGGAAAACTGCTACTGAAATTCTGTTTTTCATAAAGGTGACTTAGTTCGCACAATGTTGAGACACACTGTCCTTAACCCTGGAACAGATAAGATGCTTCCAAACATGACAAGAGTTCTGTAACACCTGAATGGGAGCTGTACAGTCTTCCATTCTGTTTTTGCATGCTTATGTGCTCATTTCCTGTAACCCCTGTAGCAGATTCATGAAAAACTGGTTGACTTACAAAATCAAACCCAGAAATGACTTACAGAATTCTCTCCCAGGTACGGAAGCCAACAGTTGGAATTCGAGGCATCAGCAGGGCTCGTGCCTCCTGAACCTTCGGAAAGAGACCC